AGGGATGTAAAATAAATTGGGTAAATGATACTGTTTACAATTACTTGTATTGTTCAGGTCTTTTTTAAATATGATTTATTTGTGCTCTCTTGTGCAGCTGAATTAGAGGAATGATCTGCAAGCGTGCTCAGACCTTGCGAATAACTGTCAAAATGTCACAATACACTCAATTATGTTGTAAATGACTGTAAACATTTCATTGATGTGGCGGGACCTCTGCAAAAAATAAAAAAATACATACTTCCGAGAATTTTTTGCGTGCTCAAGCGTTATAATTTCGAGTTTATAATATAAGCCGTTTCTTTTGTGCATCTCTGCCATCGTACTAGGAAGAAAACAAGAGCGTGGATGTGTACGAGTTAATAGAGATCTATTTGGTCAAAAATAGGCTTTCATAAGGGCAGAACTTTTAATATCAAGGCCTTATGTCCGCTTTAACGCACCCCCGGTGGCCGTGGTCGACACGCAATGTACATGGTCCTATTTGCCAAGTTCAAGGGGCCATTGAAAAAAAAAAAGGAGATCGGTACAGTAAAAAGTGCTCAAAATTTGCCTTTGCTTAGGGCAGTACGTCAGCTCGAAGTGCTGTTAAATGAATGAAGTCAGCATTTCTCCTGCATTTGTAAGGATTTTTTAATTGTCCATTAGAGTTTTATGTGGGTCTATATAAATATACTGCCCAAACAAAACTCAAATTAAGGACTTTTTTATTGTTCCAACCATTTCTAATGAACCATTACACTTAGAATAAAGGACGATGTACAAAGCTGTATTGTGCCATGAGGACATTTCCCAGTGTGGTGTCTCGGATGCAGTAAACCGGACATTAGGCCTTGATATTACAGGTATTGCCCTAACATTAAAAGCCAAATTAGCATTCCAATCTTTTTTATGAACCCGTAATCCATGATCTCGTTTTCTAGTAAGATGGCAGAGACACAGAGTAAATAGATTATAGTAGGGCGGCACAATTAATCGAATTTCCAATCGCGTTTATGGATGCTACGATTCCATAATTGTTCAAAGCCACGATTTGTGTTGTCAAAAAACTTGGTTCTAAAAAAAATTAAACTGTTACGGTACCAGCTTTTCTAGGTACCGAGTACCGGCTTAATCCGGTTCTTGACGCGCTGTCTGAAAGGTGCACAGTTGCGTCCTCTTCATAACGCTGAAATGGCTCTGAATCCACTTGTTGACACGAAAGGGGGAAAGAGCCACATATAGAAATATTTTGGATTATAGGCTACTAGGCGCATTTCCATGACAGATTTGCGCAAAACTATTGCGATATTTCCAAATGTCAGTAAAAAACTATTGCGAAATGACAGCGTTTCCATTAACCGATGTTATGCGACTAAAACGTCTTTTTTGCCTCTCGCCATAAGTCATTCCAAAAATCATGGCAATGGACGTTGGTTGGTTTATATATATCACAGCCATGCACCGCACTAGACATTATTATTATAAATGGAAGGAGACGTGGTGTGTGTTATCCAAGCATTAATAGTTCCTGGGTGTTTCTCCCTTATTTCTGCTTCGAGGTCTTGATTGTGGCATTTCTTTGAGTCCAGTAGGCTATTCCTGTAATTATCGTTTCTTTTTTAATGAATTTAATAAAGAACTCTGTCTCGTATTATGTCCAAACGGTCAGTGTACTTGCATTCGTTCTTACTTGCAAAACGAAAAATGAACGGTTGTTGTATTTTTAAAACGCATAGTTGAACACCGACATTTTAGTTTGATCACACCAATGCTGCGCTATATATACATCTCAACGAACTTTCAGATATTTTTTATGATTTTTACCCCTTTAAAACATTTAAAATATCCACAAATTAATATGGGAAAAAAATGTAGATTTTACTGGTTTTCTAAGGCCAAATTAGAACCTGGAAATTATATTTTTCCCGCAGTGCTGTATAGGTGAGTAATAATAAATGCGTCTGAAAAAATAACGACCTAAAAACATATCTCCATCTCCGGATGCACCTTTAGAGAGAACTGCATCTTTCATACGGATTTCATTGCGTGCTCCAAACTCCGCACACACTCTTGGATATTGGTCAAAATCGAGTGTTTATTTGTGATAATCTTAGCCCTATTATTATTATTGTCCAACCTGTACTATGAATGAGATGTGACGAATTGCTTTGTTCCTTTTTTGGATAAAAGCGTCTTCTACATATGTAGCCTAATAAATGTTATAATAGGCTAATGATGATAATTTTTATTATTATTTGCGGAAACTGACCTAAAACACACTCCGTCTTCTAAGTCAGGTGACTGTAAATGCACAAAACCAGTTTCCATTGCAGTTTTGTGAAAAAATCCTTTTTCGAATTGCCTGAAAAACTTTTTTTTTGCGGTAAACGGTAGTTTTTGCGAAATTGACGCGTTTCCATTGAGCGTATTTTCATTTCGCAATTTCAATTTGCGCAAAATTGAAGGGTAATGGAAATGCAGCTAATGTCAAGTTGCCATAAGAGGGCATTCACATGCATATTTGCAATTTCAAATGTAGGCGCGAGGACAGCGCGCTCACAATAAAAACTCCAAAGACGCCGCAGGAGAGCAAACGCTTTGGAAAGAATTTGACGCTTTGGAAAAAACGCGATACGTGAATGGCCTCTAAAGTGGTTTCGTGGTAGTTTTATGAGTACATGAGCACAGTATCCAACAAACACCAGAGTACTGGTATTAGTATCAGTGCATCCCTATTTATGTCATAAATATCGATCCCAGTTCAAGGCATATTCTTGCCTGGATAACTTTTAGCAGGTTTAAAAAGCCCTTTTAAAATGAAATATAAATGCAGTTTTGGATTAAATAAAAGTACAGTCAAGTCAAATAAAACATGTTTTATCTCCTGTATAGTTTGGTAACATTACAATAAGGCACCACTCATTCACATTCCTTAATGCATTATTTAACATCAACACATTGAGTGAACAATGTATTTTTACAACATTAATTCATGTTTGTGAAAGTTATTTAATACAAACACTTGATTGGTCATGTTTGTTTACTACATTCATTGTGCATTACAGATTAAAGCTTTTGATTTTAAAAATGTGTTAGTATGTGTTAGAGAATAATTGCTACATTATATTATACATTATAAACTATTGTTTATTGTTAGGTAATTTTATATAATCTTTTTGTGAATTGTTTTAATACAGATGTACAGTTTCCATATTTGTAACCATGATAAACACTTTAATTTATGTAAATGTAATCTAAATTGAGCATTGGTACCGAAATTTGTACAGAGAACCGTGAATTTTTAGTGGTATGTTACCGAATACTGACAACACTATAGACAACACTAGCCATAAATACAAAAAAAAGACTTTTTAAAATGACTTCTGCATGCTTGAGATGTGTTTGGAGCATGTTATGTTGCAAGAGGCTTATCTCGACTACTTCAGAGTACCCAGTCCCATAGGAACTTTAGTGTATGCTGATTGGTCGAACACACGAGGATCACCGGCAGCCGCCATTTTTAAAAAAACTATGTAAATTCAGATTATAGCCTATATATTTACACCACAAACTAACTCTATGAACAAGAAAAACAGTGATAGATGGACCTCTCAACCTTTATGCGGAGGAGAAAATCCAACGCAACTTTGAGGGGACCTAGCCAAACATGATTATGTATTTCTGCTCAGCTAGCGACACTGGATATCTAAAAGTCAGAAAGAAAAAAAAAAAAAAAAAAGAGTTTCTACCTGGCAGTGCGAATGCAACCACGAAAACGGCCAAAGGGAACCAACCTGGTGGCTTGTTCCTAAAACTACCTGGTGTGAAAGCCCCTATGCTTTTTTTTTTTATTTAAAGAAGCCAAACCAAACCAATGTTGCCATTTGAGGCTGAATGTTACAGAAAAGTAATAAAAGTTTTCCAGGAAGAGTTTTTACCTTGTTGTTATTTTTTTTATTGAAGCAACTGCATGCCATACATATATCTATATATATATATATATATATATATATATATATATATATATATATATATACACACATATATATATATATACATACACAGGTATATATGTGTGTGTGTGTGTGTGTGTGTGTGTGTGTATATATATATTTATATATATATATATAAGGGCTGTGAAACGATTAATCGCGATTAATCGCATCCAAAATAAAAGTTTGTGTTTACATAATAGATGTGTGTGCAGTGTGTATAATTATTTTGTATATATAAATATACACATATGCATGTATATATTTAAGACAAATGTGTTATTAATATATCAAATAAATTTTGTATAAACATATATAAAGTATACATGCTAATATTTTTTAAATATATACATGCATGTGTGTATTTATATATTCAAAATAATTATACACACTAAACACACATATATTATGTAAACACAAACTTTTATTTTGGATGCGATTAATCGCAATTAATCGTAATATATATATATATATATATATATTTGGCAATATAAATCGTAATTAATTATCGAAATTAAAATTTCAAGGGAATTGACAATTTTGATTTTTGTCATAATCATGCAGCCCTAGATTATAGCATACACAAACTAGAAATTGTAACCTGTGAGCACAATAACAAATCCCATTTCGCGCATGAACATTTTTTTTTTCTATTTTTAAGTCTTTTTTTTTTTAAAGACCCAAAATTTACCAAAATAGCCACTTAACTAGGTGATGTTCAAGGTAAATTAGTATGAAACACCATTACTTATTACTCTTAGAGCAAATGGGCAATTCATTAGGCAAAAGATCCAAGATCCAAACTAGATTACAGAAATCAACCAAAACCTGATGATCACTTATCAGCAGTTACTGCACAGCATAATACAGATAAAGTACAAATGATTCCTCAGGAAACTACTTTATTAATTACAGCTGTTCGGCGAGACCAGATGCAGAAAATGTGGCAACATTGAGAATCACAAGAGACACAGACACATAAAGTTACAGACCAGCGTGAAAATACCGCTTGGCATCGCCCCTCACCTCAAGTGTGCGTGTTGCATTCTCCAGAGTCATCGCCCCAAGTGGGTCCACCGGTCGCCAAGGAAACTCAATCTAGCTCTCGTCTCGCTCCTCTTCCTCCCGCTCCTCCTCCTCCCCCGTTCAGCATGTGAACCTCAGGGCTATCAATGACCTGAAACAAAAGCAGGTGGATGGAAAAACACGAGCGTCATTGGCGGCAGAGCAGTTCGCTGCCAATCATCCAGGCCCGGGATTAAGTGTCAGCGAAGACGCGACAGGGCCCGTGGGACGGCTGGAGCGTGTCTCAAATGAACGCCTGCCTTTCTGCTTTGCATTCACACTCACTGACTCGCTCACTAGAAGCGCAGGCATAAAGCAGTTAGATGCTAATTAAGGTGTGTTCCATCAGGAGAAAGTGTCTTGATTAATGGATGTGAGGGACAGCTCTGCGGAAAGATGGATATTCCCCTGACGCTGCACACCAAACAAACTGCCTGGCACATGACGGGACTCAATGAAGCTTGGGGGACCGCAAGAACAAGCAGAGAGAGAGAGCTTAAACACATGTGATGGAGACTCCAGACCAGACCAATCTGAAAGTGTTTCTTAACCTGCAGGGTATGTCAATTCCCCCATCAAGAGATTATTTTCTGGTTAAAGTGATAGTTCACTTTGAAATTAATTTTTGGTATGTTTCAGCTTACCTCAAGTGCATCCAAGGTGTAGGTGTCTTTGTTTCCGCAGTATTTTCAATTTTGATATTTTTAGGTCAAACCGTTCTTGTCTGTCAGTCATATAATGCAGGTCTATGGTCACCACCTCAAAGAGTATGCACAGAGAAGTCCAAATTAAACATGATTTAATGACTCGTAAATGTAAGTACACATCGATGGCCTAAAACACGAAATGAGCGGTTTGTGTGAGAAAACGAACAGGATTTATGTCGTTTTTACCTCTTGTAAATACAGCCACAAAGTGCCCGCAAGAGGTAAAAACGATATAAATACTGTTCATTTTCTCACACAAACCGTTCGTTTCGTGTCTTAGGCCATCAATGTGTACTTACATTTACGAGTCATTAAATCATGTTTAATCTGGACTTCTCTGTGCATGCTCTTTGAGGTGGTGACCATAGACCTGCATTATAATTTACTGTTATTACTACGGTAAGTACATGTAACATATGTAACAGGGACATCGTAAAATAAAGTGTTACCCAAATTTGCATAATGCCAGTCTAGATTTTATAAAACTGATTTTTTTCACACTTGCCTGAAATGTAAGTAACCCTGACCAGGTTGATTATTTAGTTCATGAGTGTTTGATTGAGGTTGGAGGAAATCTTCTCACAGTTGAGGAGAGAACGGAAACAAACGTACAAAAGGTTCATGGCACAAGAGAAATCGAGCTCCCAACTCCTGCATGAGCGCCAATGCTTTACTGTTAGGCCACGGCTCTGACTTGACATTAAGTCTTAAAAGGTTCAGACTTTTAAATATGCATAAAATTACATTAACAAACTGAATGTAATCTAATCCACTTTAATTAGAGAAGAGAAGCCAGCTGACCACATCGAACAGAAAACGCCAAGGGCAATAAAACCCCAAGAAAATCAATTACATGGCTGTTTTAGCAAAGCAAGACCGCTGTTCTGTATTCCTGTACAGTTCCGTCAGAAAACAAGATATGGAGAAACACCATCTCAAAGACAACAGCCGGTTTCCCAGGCCCATCAGCGTGATTGATGTCGATGAAGACACCCAAAGTCCGTAGAGGTTTGTCGCTTTAACCAAGAACTTACAAAATAAACAAAAGACCTAGATTTAGTCCCATCACACATTATTCCGAACTGGCTGAAGAAATCTTAAATAACTCAAGAGCTGTAAAAGCTGCTCCAAACTCAAAAGGCCTTTCAAAACTCTTCCCATTCTTCACTTAAAGACCAGACGCCCATGCTGGGCGGGCTTGCACTTTGGCTAATGGCGTCTAGCTTTTGACTAGCATGAAAGCACTGGAATCAGATTAAGGCGTAAAACTTGCCATTATGTATAGAGGACCACTGCACAGCAGGACGAGACATGAGGGAAACGATAGGCATTTGTTAACTAAAACAAACAATATATGATTTATGAAGCAACTTTTTATAACGTATTCATTGTTATTGTCTGGCAAATGTAGATTAATGTGTGTACTTGCAATTCATTTGATAAATTAATTGCCATATTATTGTTAACCGAATCGTTAAAGGGTTAGTTCACCCAAAAATGAAAATTATGTCATTAATGACTCGCCCTCATGTCGTCCCGAGCCCGTCAGACCTCCGTTAATCCACAGTTTAAGATATTTTAGATTTAGTCCGAGAGTTTTCTGTGCCTCCATTGAACATGTATGTACGGTATAGACCCTTTTACAGTTGGTAAACATGGTGATGTTTTTTTGTGGGCGGAGCTTCGTTAGCTAGTTAGCAAGGATTGTTAGCTTGTTTTTTTAACAATGACTGGAGAAAATCCGATTTTATCTTAATGTGTAAGGTCACTCAGTGTCCAGGACCGCGATTGTTATTTCCAAAAGTTATTTTTAACGGACGGAACCAGATTGGCCGACCCGTAGCCGCCTAGACGCTCACTCAATGCATGGATGATCTGACAGGATTAACGTACGTTACCTCGGTTGAGTGGCCTGACTTCTACACCTACATAAACCGATTGTAAAGAGAAACTGAGGGCATATAAATCTTCAGATGCCTATATGATCCTGTACAAGACTTGTGTGTACGATCCGCAGTTCTGCCGAGCCAGCGCCGAGACCACGACGACAATGTAAAGAGTGACACAGTGCGATTTCAATGATGTGAATATTTTCTAGAAATAAAAGTTCCAGATACAGCATATTCATTTTTTCATCAATTCTTGCACCAAACAACACAACAAGATGACATTTAATAATAGTAACAATTATTTAAGCTCCTTATTATGCAGCCGAATCTGTGCTGGTTTGTATTGGCCGCCTCCAGTTTTCACCTTGTTTTTCCTCCAGCTAGCGCCGTCACGTAACTGTGACGTCGCCGCAAAAGGGGTCTATACTGTCCTTGTCCAGAAAGGAAATAAAGACTAGAGCCAGACCGATATATTGGCAGACCGATATTAGGCATTTTCCAAACTATCGGTATCGGCAGTTATATTCAACCATGTCATGAGTGTTGGAGTTGTATAGTTTGTCCACCAGAAGGCACTCTACACCGTCCCTGTTGGCAACACTTGTGTGTAGATGGATCTCTCCTTGGCCTGTTATATTGAAAATGTATATTTTACAATTTGCAGTAAGACGTTATCCATTGCAAAATTATGGCTCATCATAGACTAGCTAACCACAAAACTAGCTAATGCCACTATCATCAGTGTAAGACTGCTAACGTAAGTTTCCTTTTAAAATGCATTATCATATTATTTTAGTTAAAACTCATACATAACTACAAATAACTAATGTCAGGGAAACCTGTTAATGTTTTGTTGCGCGTTTCTGAATAAAAAAAAAAAGCATCGGCCGATATATCGGAATATCGGATTTTAAAACCAACAAATATTTGTATCGGTATCGGCCTTTAAAATCCTTTATCGGTCGGGCTCTGAATAAAGACATCATCAAAGTAGTCCATGTGACATCAGTGGGTTAAGTTACAATGTTTTGAAGCATCGAAAATACATTTTGGTCCAAAAATAACAAAAACTACGACTTTATTCAGAATTGTATTGTCTTCCGCTTCTGTTGTGGAGCCGCGTTCAGTGACGCGGCTGACGTGTGTCTGGTGCGGCTGAGCTTCGGTTACAGTCTGAGGGAGACGCACGCTGTACAAAACATTCTTCACAAACATGTCTAAGGATTTCCACACAGAGGAACACTTGCATTTTTTTGCCCAGCCATATTTATTTGAACCCGAACACACGGACACACCAGACAGCGTCACTGAACGCGGATCCACAACACAACCGGAAGACAATTCAATGCTGAATAAAGTCGCAGTTTTTGTTATTTTTGGACCAAAATGTATTTTCGATGCTTCAAAACACTCTAACCAACCCACTGATGTCACATGGACTACTTTGATGATGTCAAGGACAGTATACCATATACATTTACAATGGAGGGACAGAAAGCTCTCGGACTAAATCTAAAATATCTTAAACTGTGTTCCGAAGGATTGGGACGACATGAGGGAGTCTCATTAATGACATCATTTTCATTTCTGGTTGAACTAAGCATTTAATTCAACTAAATTGAATCCACCAACAGCCGAAGTATTTTGTTAATCAAGAGCTCAAAGTGTGGAGACAGCAGAGAAGCGCACGTGTAAAGGGTCCTCTAGCCGGCTGTGGATGAGGCTAGCTTTGAAAGCTTTGCTAGAGATGCGTTTGATTACATGAACAATGAACGCTGAGCTACTGACAGCAAGACATTCAGGCGGCAGATAAAGGGAACATTTAATAACACTGCATTGAGAGGTGGACTTATTATGATTGTGTAACGCCTCTGCATCATCAGCCACCACGTCATTTGACATCATAAAGCCCGTGTGGAAATTGAATGGATCAGTTGTGATTCAAGGTTGTCTTTAACCCTTCCTTCACAATATGCCAAAAAGCATGACGCCCGGAACATTTACAGCACAGAAGGCAATCATCATCCCGTCGTTCAACCCTTTCATCTTTCAACTCTTCTTTTGCGTCGACTGCCCTTAGCTAATGCGCTGAAGAGTCTGAGTTTTCACCTCAGTAATAATCTAGCAATCTCACTTACCGAAACCCGCAATCTCGCCATAATGAAGTGAAATGGTAAGTGTACCTTTGACAAATCAAATTTGCAGTAATGATATGATCTACTGGGCAAAGGGGACACATCTGTGGGAAGTAATCAGGCGGGAGATTTGTTTGAATTGGAAGAACAAAAGGAAAAGGTTGGAACACCTTGGATCACAACTGCACATTTGAGGCACATTTCAATGTGATAAACATGACAAAAGAAAAGGTGAAATCAAAAAGATAAAGCTGGAATCTTTTTTCAGAAAGAACAAAAAAAAAAACATACAGGAATGATGTATGAATAAGTTTCAGCATAAAGCCTGGTCCACATTATAACTTATTCTGGTAAAAAACTACCCGATTTTGTTGAGTGACA